TGCATAGAAAGAGAACTTTCTTCCGTGAAATTAATTTGCACTTTCCATTTGTTCTGGATCACGTTGAGTTTCAAATCGGCCTTGAAATATGGGTGAGGGCTTCACGATTTTCAGTATTTTTGATCGATTTCCCATAAAGACAGATTCTATCCTATGCGTTTAAAAACGTCTTTGAAGTAAATTATTTCAAGGGGGGCATTTACTAAAAATAGAGTACGTAAACGTTCCTTTTCATGCAGAAGGTAATTTCCGTCCCACTTAAAGACTCGCTCAAACATGAATCCTCATCGTTGAATATGGTGAACGTCCACAACATAAGTCGACAGCAAATATGCTTTCGGTCAATTACACAACGTTCCCTGATACGTCGCCTTTTAGACGAGTGTTTTAATACTCTATTCCGTTGACGGATTTCTGTGTACTTTACATTTCTGCGCAGTGAAACCAAGAAAAAATTTGACGCTTTTGGTTGCTTCTCTCACGTTGCTAAAAATACTGACAGTTTTCCGCTGCAAACGTAAGAGCATGCCTTTCTCTTTATATTGCGCCCATTTTCGCTATCTTTGTACACTTTTAAGCTCCGTTCTACGATTATAAACGCACGGCAGAGTGGACATAAAAATGATGATATTTTGCTGAAGCTGTCAATGTTTTGCTCGTTCCATTTACAAATTACATATGTACAGAGGTTATAATGCCCGAAAAGTAATGTCCCACGCTTCCAAAACTGGAAATGACTCTTCAGTGGTAATCATTTCCGTGATAAAACACAGTTTTCCAAACGGTAAAACAATTTCGTCCCATTTAAACGAAGGATTGCCTGCGAGCGTTTTTACTGCACTGTGGGGCAGCAAATCGCACAGATATGCTAATCTGACTCTCTAGTTCTCTTGAAATAACCTCTCAGGGCTTTAGAATGTCGGCTGTATTAAAACCTTCCCCTTACTGCGTGGGTTCAAATTCCACTGAGGTGCCGAGTTTTTCACAGTTGAGTCAACATGAATAACCTGTATGTTAGCTAGCTGGTTCCCACGGTCAGCATCGGACAAAAAATCAATTATCCAGCCCGGAAAGCTTTGTTTAGTAGAACTCTTTGGGGTAGATTACTCTCCTCTCAGCGAAAAACGCGCTCAGATGAGCAACTGAAATCAGAGACAGATGTCAACCTAGGCAATCGCTCGAATATATCGCAACGTTCATTTGCGTTCAAATTTATGAACATTTTACTTGATAAAATTACGTGCACAAATTGTCTGCCCAAGAAAACAGCTTTTCCCTGAAGAGGTTGGACGAGCGAGCAAAATGCGAAACGGTCAAGTCGCCCGCAAATCCTCACATCAGTTTCTCTCGTCAGGTTTCATGAGATAGGTCACGTACTGTAGGTGCAAAGCTTAAGGCAGGCATGCAAAATCGTGACATTCTTGACCATGTGCCTCAATAGGCCCTCAGATCAAAAAATGCTCTCTTATGTGAAGTTGCGAAAGTGACTGACGGGGAACGTAAATCACAAGGTTAAGTCATACATGGTGGTAAACTGGTTTCGAATGAAATTCCTTTCAGCTGACTGTGTGAATCTCATCATTGATTTAAGTCATCTATATAAGTTGGACATGTTTTTTATAATGCGAAACCAAAATATCCACACACTGCACTCATCTCACAAGCCATTACGTCCTCTCCATATCTTGAAGGGAACAACCACTTTGGTTTCCAAAAAGCGTAGAATTTTTGGACTTTTTATAACGCTCACATATCAATTGGTACAGTTGACTATCGTGGAATTTATTACTACTGCGCAGAAAATGGGCATAACCGTCTATACATACAAGGTATGCGCACCAGTGAATTATTTATAAGGACATGTAGGACTGTATAATTTTGCGTCAGCCAGCCTATAGTGTGTGTAGCGTGAAATTCCCGTAATTAAATGGAGGCGGGGGTTGGGCATTAAAATAAACAGATAAAACAATGTTTGCTCTCAGATGTACAATTCGCGAAGAACAATTTTCAAAATAGGTACAAAATTCAATGTTTTGCGTACATTTTCTAAAAAACGGAATAAAGTTTTTACAGACAGCCAAAGTCAGTGGAAAGATATGGGCACTGTATTGGATGCGGGTTTCGTTCTGAGTGATAATTAAATTGGTGAATGAAAAGATATCTAATAAGAATAAATTGTGTTACCCTTCAGGAAGGGCTATGAGATTATGCCACGTACTGATGGGTTCTGTAGCCTCATTTAACTAAACTTTCCCATTTGAGACTTTATCGAGATATTTGAGCTAGTATCCCACTGATCTCGACATGCATCTACCCTATACTGTTTCCATGATACCACACTTCCAGAACTGATTTAAACTGTTCTTCAGTCTAAATTAGTGAGTTAGAGGCCTGCAAACTCACACACGACCGCTCTACTGCTAATTCGTATCACCTAGGGGCAATTTAAAGACTGAAATACTGATCTCGCTCGGATGTCGACATTGAAGAAAATTCGACAAGAATCTAAAAACCAACCTGGAGAAAAGCACAAGATGAATCAGGAATTAATAAAATTTCAAACTCCTCCCAAACAAACTTTTGTTGATTACAGAAATGTTTCGTGCTAGTGCAGGCTGACATCGAGAAGGGCGTTATATCAAACGATTCTTTAATGTGAGCAGCTGACAATACTACTAAATCACACAACGTGTAACACCTTTTTAAGTCATAGGGACACGACGGACACCATTCTCGAAGTTGCTGTAGTTTACATGGACAAAGCATCGAAGAAAGTCCCTATAAGTGAAGAAACAGTAAATGGATCTTGAATAAGGGGACACGATCGCTGGGACAAGAGGTTTATTAGCCGGACGTTTCGGATTTCTGCTCGAATTCATCATCAGGGACAACAGCAGATACGGGTGATTCACGCACAAGGGGTTGCAGTATTTATAGGATGCAGTCGCCATGCTACCGCATACGTATGAACATTCACGGCTCCCCCTTCATCCGGGATCGTTGCACTTGGTGTGCAAATTGTTTGATGGCCGACATTCGCGTCGTTAATTGTTAAAATTTCATCACGTGCGTTGAATGTTGGTGTGATGAGTGCTCCACCATTTGATCCACCGACCCTGGAGTTGGGAAAAGTGTTCACCTCTGCGCTCCCCGCGTGGCTAATTACTCCGCCTAGGCGAAGTTCCAGCACGGAGAAGGGGGAGGGAACTTCATAGTACTTGTTAATTGAGTGGGGGCCGGTAAGCCATGATTCAAGAAGCTCCCGGCTCACGCGGTTGTAAACTCTTGCGAGAATTTCGGCCTCGTAGAATTTGAGTGTGTGGCCGGATCTCGTCGATGCCCTTTGAGACCTCGATTAAATTCCGTCAGATGGTTTTTAATTCACAGCAACTGCTTAGGTCTGGTCGCTAATTTCTCCGTCGATAATAACATAATTATGATGCAAGTAAGGCAGTGTACAAGCTTTTATTCATTACTTTTTTTATTTACTAGCCAATTTCCCAAATGAAATGTGCTATTTATTAGGGGAGACACGAACTATTTAGGGGACATTTAGGGCAAAAAGCCAACTGTAAAACCTTGACAAGATGAATGCTTAAAACCAAGTCTGAGTAATATCAACCAAGCGAATTAGCTTTGCAACGCAAAATAAAACATTGCGAAGAAGATAATACGAGAAATAAACAGAGGGTATAAAAATTACGTTGAATGATATATAACTGCAGGCGTGCTTACAGGAAAAAAAAAGAAAAATGTAAAAAAACAAATCAAATGCAAACGAGGAGCGGAAAACTTGAGGAAAAACAGATGTAAACTCAGGCAGAAATAAGAAGATGAAGTAAACTGGAGCCAGATGCTGCAGTCCCCGTGGGCAGTGTGGGCAGTGGAGGCGGGTGCGGTGGGTGTAGGTTGGTGCTCCAGGCACTGGTTCGCCAGCCCCTGTGCGATGGATTCGTAAGTGAGAGACCAGGCCGATGTGTGACGTGAGGGTGCGGTCGCAGTGAGGACAGGTGTAGTCCTGGTCTTCACATCTGAGGTCGTCGGTGGTGACTTTGGTGTTTGTTGTTGTGTCATATTGATGTGCGTGGCAGACGCCACAACGGCAAACG